GTTGCTAAAACATCTTTTGTTAAAAAACGAAAAAGTAAAAATTATTGGGAGGGAGGGGGGCAAAAAGTGCTCTGCCCCCTCTAAGTCGGTGACTATATATATGATCGATAGAACGACCAGAGAAAATTATTACACAACTAATTTTATTTGGTTTTTTCTTTTTTTATGAACTATTAATACAAATAGCTATCTCTTTATTATTATCAATAGTTCGACGAAATGGAAAATGATTCTTCAGTTGATAAAGCTTGCGGTTTTGACAATGAGTACTTTCGAACATCTTCTTCAACATGGCAGTCTGCTCCCGTTAATTCTGCCATCGTCAGAATGTGAAATCGACATAGTTTTCATCGAGTTTAACATGAAGACATTCAACATGTTTTACATAAAGATTATTTGCGACTTGCGACTGGTGATTGCTGATGATGTCGTGATTATCGGTGATGTCGATAACCATGTGTGCGCTAACGCTGTTACTATTGATGGCAGAATAATCTATTAAGGGATCTAATCACTCTGATTGAGTTTATAATTAGCATAAATTAAAATTTTTCTTAAATTAACTACTGTGTAATATTAATTTATATTTTACGGGTATAATACACAACATTAAAATTATAAATCTGAAAATTTCCGAAAAGATTGAGCTAAAAATGTAGGCTGCAGAATTCTTGCAAAGCTTCTTTGTCGCGTCAAGATCTGACGGGTGTAACATTTCCGAGAGGAGAGGAGAGTATTGTGAAATAAAAAAACAAAATATTTTCCTATAAACAGATGTTATGGCTATAATGTTGCGTAGTGGTTTTTTTTTAATTGTAGAAAGGGGATCAATTAAAAAAATATATTTTTTTACATTAAAATCTAAACTTAAAAAATTTATTATAAATTAATAGATTAACATATTAAAAAAACCTTACGCAACACGATAGATAATTTTCTTAAGAATATGTTTGTAAAAAATAAAGTCAATTAGACTATTAGTTTCTGAAAAAAGTTTACACCCGTCTTGAGAAATATAGTTTCGAGAAAAACGCAAAAGAAAATTCGAAACGGTTTTTTTATGTTACAAAATATTACAGAATGATTTTACTTCTAAGCTTAAAATATTTTTAAAAGTTCAAACTTTTTTTCAAAAAATGTAATTAAGAAAATAGATTTTTTGAAAATTTCAGAATGGTTAGACTCCTTAATTTTATAAAGTTCATAGATGAAACGATAGAGTAAAAGCGCTGGAAGCGTTAAATGTATATTCACAAATTATCTCAATGATGATTCTGAAAAATATTTAATGAGTTATTCCTTTGTCTTATTTCATTGCTGGGCAAGTTCGTCTTGTGTGCGTTATTGAGAGAAAACGCGTTGTAATAGTTCCTCTAATAAAATTATATTTTTCCTCGTAAGTGACTCGGAATAATTGAACAAAATCCAATAGTTATTCTCAACGATTTAGTCTCGAACGATCAAAAAATCTTTGCGCTGACAATGAGTCAAATGTCTAATATGCAAAGTTCGCATTTCCTCGAACGTCCTCGTCAACAATTGTATAGATTCTCAATCGTATAATCTCGTGTGCAAAATAACAATAGCTTGGGGATTAGATCCAAGTCGATCGCATCCGATCTACGTACGTAACGATAATCATTCTGTAAAGAAAACAATTATTCATTCGTGCAACAATCAAACGACCATCGATCTTATAAATCTTGTTTTATTGCTAGACTTTTCGGATCAAACGTGACGTGCGATTGTTCAACGCAAAACTGGATTGTTTACTGGATTGTTAGAATAATTAGTGTCGAGCGTTGCTAATTCATCGCAAGCGACGTTCTTAAAATGTTTCTTTTTATTTCAACGTTCAATATGTACTCCGAAATTTTTTTAATCATTTCTCGCTCGTTCGCAACGGCTTTGAATACGCCGCGCTTGACGACGTGCGCTTCATTATTTTATAATTTAACGAAAACGATGGCGCGCTATATTTTATTCATTCAAATGATTGTATAAGCGTCTCGAAAGTCTCGTCAAACGATGAAAAAAAAATGTAATTGAATAATTTCATTATATCAGCGATTATAAAGGAGAGAAAGAATAGTAGATTGAAACATATTTTTGGTTCGACTATGGCAAAAATAACAAGTACTCTCCCTGAGAATACTCAATCGTTGCTCGTAAAATTTTGTAAAAATCGTATAAAATTGTTACTATCAATGAACAGAATTCGTCGCAACTGATTGAATATTCTGTTCAAATTTGTGCTGAAAATGAATGATGTGGTTATACTATATATATGTTAGACGAGAGCCTTCAATGTTTTTAAAATTTAAACAAGCGATAAGGATATAAAGATGTATTTGTATGCAAAAAATCAATTTGGAAACTTGTATATTGCGATGCGATGAACACCAATGAAAAAAAAAAAATTGACGGATTACAATTACACTAATGTATTAATGTTTTTTCGTAGCTTTTAAAGACAGCCAATTCACTGGGACAAAATTCATCCGAATGTCGAATAATGAAATTTTATTTTTATCATCGATATATTTAGGTACAGCTTACGTTTCTCCGGTTTAATACCTATCCACAGAATCTTTCTACGATACCATTATGTAATAAACGAATACAAGTCATTAGTCACGTCTTTCTATGAATATATAATGTGTGATCAA